AGTAGTGAGAAAAAGACATTCTTGTGATTAGCTTAAATAGAGGAGTCGAGGGGGAAGTTACCATGCTGTCAAAGTTAACTGTRGCTTTGTTTATTATCCTGCGAATAAATACAGAAGTGAATGAGGAGCAGAAAACCTTGATTCAAGGATGCAAGAAGCAATTATATATACAAATATATGTAATATATAATAATATATATATAATCATACAGGATCATGTCTAAAGTAGTTTTTCTTCTAATTTTTAGAGTGTGTTGACATCAACGTAACTCCAGACAAAAGGCAAATTTTACTGCAGGAAGAGAAACTTCTCTTAGCAATTTTAAAAACTTCTCTGATAGAGATGTTTGGTAGTGATGTTAACAAGCTGGATGTCAATCAGAAACTTCTGGACATTGCAGGTAGGACAAATGCAAAATGTGGAAGTCTTTCTGTGTGGTATATGCTAGAGAATTTAGAATGGAAAAATGTTTTAAAAACATGAAAAAATAACAAAAGTGGCTGTTGATGCATACGTTAAGGCAGATTTTTCATGTGTTGTTTATATTCTGGTTGTAATGTTGGTGTTGACATTTATAATAGAGGATCCTAAGTTATTAGGTGACTTACAGTCATATTTAGGGTAAAAGTTCAATACAAAATTAATTGATAATGTTTGGAAAACAGAGTCTTTCCAATGTGGAAAGGGAAAGATCAGGAGATCTGTGTTTCAGAAGAGAGAGTGGGGAGATGGATACAGTATTTTAGGCTGTTCCCACACACTGCTATTCACCCACTTTGTTCACAYAAATACCATAACGATAACCACAACTTGTTTACTTTCTCAAAGACCTAACTGCTTTTCCATCAGATAGCTGTGTGCAATTAAGCAGTCCCATGCTTAATTGTGGTAAWAGGCTTAAGGGCTCATTTGAGGAGTTAGTTATTTTTCTACATCTCTTGTTTCCTTAACAAAACAACATCATTCAATTTCTTTTTTCCTATTTATCCTTAAGTTAAAATCCTAAAATATCTTTTATTCTGTTTTTATTAGGCAACTTGAAGAGGACTCTTCCTGAGGAGACTGAAAAGCCGCAGATAGAAGTGCTGCCTGACTCTAAAASTCAAAATCCAAGCAGCGCTGGAAGTGAAATAATGACTCTCACCAGATTAAGGGAGTCATTCTCTCTTCATCAAATGACAGAGAGCAATTTTCAAAGCCCTAAAAGGGTAAAACGGCAGCACAGCTCCCCTAGAAAACTGCCATCATTTGATACCACTTGGAGTCCTGTAAGCACTCGAAAGACTGCCCTGAGAAAGGAGTCTGAGAGTTGTTGTGAAGTGGAGTCAAAGATGTCAGCTACAAGCAGATATTTGAGAAAATTAGAAGATAATACAGATTCTGGATTCTCTAGCACCTCTGCTGAATCAGATGTTGGTTATAATATGCCAAAAGATGAGAGCTACAGTGAAAGACCAACTAATTCTTCAGAAGAAATCGGCAACTCCAAAGAGGAGCTTCAAAATGAATGTCTCAAAACTGTTGGACTAAGTGAGAAATCACTGGAATGTGATGTGCAGTTCTTGGGCACTGTGCACAAGTTAAACCAAGTGGAAGACTGGAATAATTCAAATAACTTATCTCAAGTAGCCAATAGTTCTTCCCCGAGAAAAAGTTATTTTAAAAGTAAAGCAGATGATTTAAAGGCAGATCCATCTTCTGAAGAGAAGAGTAGTAAGCACCATCTGGCATATGTTGATGTACTGGTAGAAGTTAAAAAGAAAACTGTACCACTAGAGTTCTCTATGAAGGTTTTAGCAGAAAAAGTAAAAAAGGTAATACAGCAACAAAAGAAAAGGATAGAAACACGGAATTATAGAAGATTTAAAGCAAAAATTAGCCCTGGAGAAAATAAAGTAGCAGAAGATGAGTTAAGAAAAGAGATTAGGTACTTACTTTTATTTTCTTAATTTTTTAGATTAACCAAACAATCATTGAAATAATTGAGGAAAAATAAAAGAACTCTTGAGTTGTTGGCGGGAAAGGCTTATGTCCACAATGCATCTTTTATTTAATATATACTATTAAAACATCATTCATGGAACAGAAATGGTGTAATCAGAAAACAGCACCAGATTTCAGATAATTCCTGTGTTCATTTATTGCTAAAAGGAGTTCTTTCTCTTTTATACAGAGTGTTTTCAGCAGGACAGAAAAAGATTTTAAAGTTTTATACTGTCTAATTTAGTAACTCATGACATGTAATCCTTCTGTATTTTCCATCTACAGTAAAGAAATGTTTGCAAAAATGGAAATAATCGGCCAATTTAACTTAGGGTTCATAATAGCAAAGTTGAATTCTGATCTCTTCATAATTGACCAACATGCTACTGATGAGAAATACAACTTTGAGATGTTACAACAACACACTGTTCTCCAAGGTCAGAAGCTGATTGCGTAAGTATTTTCAGTGTGTCAACTGAAAGTGTGTTAGTGTGTTTTTGTTTTTTAATATATGTAATGCAGAGAGCTCTCTACTGTTTATAGATTGCTTCTAATGTTTGAGTGGCCTGTAATATGTACCTGTCCAATACCATTATTTTTCTCTCTCTTTTAGGCCTCAAAATCTTAATTTAACTGCCGTAAATGAAACTATTTTGATTGAAAATCTGGAAATATTCAGAAAAAATGGATTTGATTTTGTCATAAATGAAAATGGTGAGTTTGGACAAGAACTACTGGGAGTAAGAAAGTAGATAGTTTTTTTCCGCTTTTATGTTAGTTCTCTGTAGTTTATTAAAAATAATATACATTTAATACAGTATGTAAATTAAAGTGAATTTAAGATTTTTGTGACCTGCTGAACTATGTACAGAGCATCGTACATAAAACATTGATCTCAAATTTGGTTAAAGAAGTTGGTGTAGGCTCTTTGCATCACTGTGCAACTCAATAGTATTTTCTGGATACATGACATTAAAATTCTTTTGCTGCATTAATAAAATACTTGTAGGGTTTTGGCAGGGTTAGAAGTAAGCAAATTATAATCTAATAATTTTAAGATAATACATAATAATGTCCTTCAGCTTTCTTTATGGCTTTAGTGCTGACATTGTGTGTACTTGCTAGCAAACTGCATAACCTAAAAGCTCTTCATTGTGCTTTTTATAAGGCAAGAGCAGTTACTGTTTAACACGTAGAGCTTTGTAGGAGAAGATTATGGAAGTACTGTGTTACGAGTTTGACACTTGGGAAGTTACTATGAATTTTCCATACTGCTTTTTACTTTTATAATCTCTACCTCTTTTTGCCTAAAACATTGTTAAGTATAATGCTCTTGGCATCCAAAAAAATTATTTCGTAGTCATGTAGCCAACATCCATCAAAAGACTGTAAATCTTGGCAAATGCACAGATCACGTTAATATGTGTAAAAGTTTCTCTCTCTCTCTCTCTCTCTCTCTCTCTCTCTCTCTCTCTCTCTCTCTCTCTCTCTCTCTCTCTTCTTTTTTCCCCCTCAAAACAAAAAGTAACTACTTATGATCCTCTGTTTGCTAATCTTGCAGCTCCTGTAACTCAGAGAGTTAAATTGATTTCTTTGCCAACAAGCAAAAACTGGACTTTTGGTCCACAAGACATAGATGAAATGATTTTCATGTTAAGTGATTGCCCTGGAGTCATGTGTAGGCCCTCCAGAGTCAGACAGATGTTTGCTTCTCGAGCTTGCAGAAAGTCTGTAAGTACTGTGCTTGATATTTTTGTACAAATAAATATAGCCTATGTCATTGAACTGTTTYGTTACATTTATATTTACATATTGCAGGGGAGATGTTTACTGTTTGGTGTCAACAGCTGATCCTTCATTTTACTCCTGTTTTTGTCCARTAAACTTCCAGAAATTCTTCTAAATTTATATGAAATTTGTTTCTAACCAGTGCACTTCGTAAACATAATTATTTGTATGTTGTTTTTTGATTATGCAGGTGATGATTGGAACTGCCTTGAATATACAGGAGATGAGGAAACTGGTCACCCATATGGGTGAGATTGAACATCCTTGGAACTGCCCCCATGGAAGGCCCACAATGAGACACATAGTCAGTCTAGATTTGATTTCGCCAGAATAACAGTCAGTTTGTGTATTAACACTCCCCATTTTAACTGCTTGATATAGTATCTTGAGCTTTTATCATGACTATTTTTCTTAAAAAATTTTAGCCTCTATTTTTTTGTATTTGAAGATGGTAAGAGGTGAAGGCCTTCCGCATGCATTCACTCTTGCTTCTATCAAGCTRTCATTTTGGACATACTGGAACTCATACATAAATAACATTTATTGTGGTTTACCCTGTATATTACTTGCTTTGCAATCAAGATTTTTTAAAATAAATCTTTATTCATTGTAGCAAAGGCATTTCACTTAATTTTACATATCGATGTGAATGTAAAAGTTGCATTTATATAATTACTTCAAGCATTAATACTGATTTAATGTATTTAACTAGTTCCTTGACATCATTCTTAAATGCAGGAATTGAATTTTTAAATAGCAATGTTCCTCTGCTTATCTAAGACACTTGATTTATTACGAGCTAGGCTTCCTTTTGAGGGGAAAAGGCCGGGAAGGGGAGGGTTGCTCTGGGGAAATRAGCCAGTTTAAAAGGGCGCCCCTGAGGCGGGATCCCCCTCAGCGCTGGGGGCGGGAAAGGACACGGCGCGGGCTGCGCGCGCAGGCGCGCTGGGAGCCGCGCGCCGCGGTTGCTATGGTGACGGCGGCGGGCGCGCCAGTGCGGCTGCGCGGAGCAGCGTCTCCCCCAGCCCGTTCCCCGGCGCCGCGCGCGGGTCCRGCGGCCGCCGTCGTGTGAGGAGGTCCCGACACGGCGGCGGGTCCGGGCGGAGGGGGGTGCGGCCGCCACCGGCCTTGGCGCTGTCGCGGTGTCCGTGACGGAGAGAGCGGCCTCACGGTGGTGCAGGGTGGCAGTCATCGTCGTGCCCCTGCTACTCGTAGCTTTCAGTATAAAATGCAAAAAAATTGTATTTGTAGCCCTAAAAGCAACTTTAAATCCGGAATGCTTCTCCAGGAACCTCAACCTCAGTTGTCCTCATCTGAGAGAAATGGCCGTTAGCTTTTCTATGTTGTTATTTCTAGACTCGTAAAAGCAGTTTGGTAGAGATGTAGGCCTCTGATTAGCCAAACTAGAGTATCTGATAATAGGCTTTTCTGGTTTAGTGATTTTGATGGATTTCCTTGTAATTCACAGCTGTCTCTTCTTGCTAAGCTGGAGGTTTGCGCAGCACAAGCTGAAACTATCTTGTGGGTAATTGTTGCATCTCTCAACTCAATAGTTTTAAATACTTACATGTAATTGTGGGGGAAAAAAAAAAGCCTCATATCTGTATTTGTTTGTCAAATAGATTGTGAGGGAGAAGGTTTCTATCTAAGAAGACAGTAGATGTTCAGGAGAAAAATATGTGTTGAGACAATGCAATAGTAATGGCAAAAGATAAGAAGAAAGATGGCAAGAAATCAGAAAAATCTGCACGTCGTCCTCCTCCAGCTCCCGCATCAGCACCTCCTCCTCCTGCCCCTCCTCGCCCTCGACCTTCTGCACCAGCAACTGCAGTTGAGAGCAGCACAAGGAAGATGGGAGGTTTGCAGACTGGGGATGGAGGAAAGAAAAAACAAGCACGTCCTTTGGTAACAGAAAAAGCACCAAAGACAGGGGAAGTACCTCCAGCCCATTATGTTCCGTTATACCCTGAGGAGTCTCTTCTCACTCGGGTTATTGTAGAAAGGTATGTTTGCTACAACCACAGTCATTAAGTCAGGACTGTTCATGCAGGAATACTCGATGCATTTCATACCCACGGGCTTGTTCTACCTCTGTATATCCAGCAGTGCTGCTGGTGCTCTGTGCACCTACCTAAAGCCTCACTCTTTTGCCCTTCTAAAGTCAGAGTGATATTTAGTAGACAAAGAATTTGTGGATCAAATACACCTATAATATTTCCACATGTTGCTGCCCTTTGATGTTTCAGGCCATTGGTATTTGGATCAGGGCATAGACTGCAGTAAATGATAGGTCGTTAATTCTGTGTTCATCATTGATTTAGTTTTACTTATGGGAACTTGAAATGTCCATCTTGAGTTTATCTTCTTTGTAGGTATGAAGGTGCTAAAGTCCATGGACTGTATGAAGGTGAAGGCATTGCCTATTTTGAGGGGGGAAATACATACAAGGTGAGCATATAAACAAAAAAGAGAAAAGARATGGAAATGGGTCAAGTTCTAGAACTCTTAGTGTAGGTAGAGTCTGAGCAGTTAAAATCTGGAAGCTCTGTTTCTGGCATTAAAAGTTTTCTTTTGATACTAGTAATTGAAGGGGATTTAATATTATTTCAAAGTCTTACAGTTGCTGTAAGCTTAGCTATGGTAGAAGTGAACTTGAAAACGATACTGTTTTCTTCATTTTGAAGGGCATGTTTTCTGAGGGACTTATGCATGGCCAAGGGACTTACACATGGGCTGATGGAGTGACATACAAGGTAAAGTGCAATACAGCTTATGAATGAACAGTATTGCAGCCAAGAAGATATGCAATTTCAAAGAAAATAAGTAAGTGACAATAGTTGGCATAATGCAGGTAGCTACTGCAGTAGCTATGGCAGTAATTTCAGTCAAGCCTGGATTCTTGCAGGCGTTTGCTCTTACCTCCTTTGCACTTAAGTGGGAGCATCGAATCACATGTGATAGCTTTTCTAAATGCTGCAATTTAATTTTTTAGGGGACTTTTGTTAAGAATGTACAAATGCATCATGGCTGTTACACGTGGATTGATGGCAGCACATATGATGGATCAATCAGCAATGGAGTTAGGCATGGATTTGGATTGTTCAGGAGTGGTACGTGTGCAGTTTCTTACATTGGCTACTGGTGTAATGGCAAAAGACATGGAAAGGTAAATAAAAACATGAAATGAGATTGTTGTCTTGGATGAGTTGTATTCAGAACAGAAAGCACTTGTGTGCAAACATTTGGCCAGAAATATATCTTGTGAGATATATAGATATACATATCTATATATATCTATATATATCTATATATATATAATGTGTGGGTGTATGTGTGTTTGCGCATGTAGGATCTTTTCTATAGTAAAAGAGCTGACTGGTATGCTAAAGGCAATGTAATTTTTCTATTATGTAACTCTAATTAGAAGATGATAGAGTCAGAACTGACAAGAGCATCAGTAGCTGTGTTTTGTGCAAGTCTGAYAGAATGGTTAGCTTCCCACTGATGGCAGAGTGATCCCACCTCCAAAATGTAGAACAGTAGACTAAGTATGATAATAGCCAAGGCTGTCCTATGTACTCTAAGTAATGTGTAGTTCTAGTCTTTTAAAGGGACTTACCTTTTAACTGTCTCAATTTTGTGCATCCCACCTGAGACACTACAGAGCCTGAAGTTTTGAAGACAGTGCTCAGCATGTGAGGAGGATGACTTCTAATTACATGCTTTGAGTTTTGTGTCACTAATGGGACACTGAAATTATGCAGGCTGCTGTGGATGGTCACCAGGAGAATKGTCTGAGAGGAAGCAATGAGGCAGGGAAAACTTCAACAATTAATGCTGCATGCTAGTTGCATGATTGCTTTTTAAAGGAGGTAATCGTAGACCTAGTGTTGAAAGTTCTAGATGAGTCAGAAAGCTGATGCACCTCTTAAGTGGTCCTTAGGTTGGTGAAGTTACAACCTTTGAAAGATTGTAACATCTGTGTACATCTGTGCAAGATGCACAATCTCTAGGCTGAGAAATGTGCTAGACTTTGTAATGTAGTATGCTTTTTTTTTTCTTCTATGCAACAGGTGTGTGTTTTTTAAGGTCTCAAGTAGTATTTATAGAAAGARAGTGTGTCTATATTTAATTTTAACTCTTCAATTTATATTAAAGTGACTATAGGTAAGAGTCTGATAGCATCTGGTATGTTTTATATGGAATGTGAAAACTATTTTTATTAAATGTAGTTTAATATTTGGCTATTGATGTAAATGGACCACATAATTTGTTTCAGGGTACCATTTACTATAATCAAGAACATACCTCTTGGTATTCAGGTGAATGGGTAAATAACAACAAAGAAGGATGGGGAATTAGATGGTAAGTATGATTGTTCTTCAGGTTTTTGGTTTCTTTTTTTGCATGTATTATCCAGGTTTACCTATTGTTTAAAATGGGCTAAGGTACTATGATTTCATAATAGTATTTGCTTTAGTGGAATTAGTAATCRTACAAAGTGCTCAATATTAATAAACCAGACTTTCTTTATGACTTAAAGTTTTATCTTGATATACTTCTGATTATTCTGAAAAGAAAGTCATCTAAAGACAAAATAATCAAAAGTCTAACTTGATAAACCAGAATTTATCATATTAAATCATCCCAAATGATTTGAATAGGTGAAACTTCTTTCATGAATTAGTGAATTATTTGATGAAATTATGCATGAAAGAACGCTTTGACTAGCAATGACAAAGAATCATAGTGCAAAGAGTTTTTGTTTTACAGTTGTTTGTAAGTTAAAAATGAGGTGAACAACGAGTAAATCAATCCGGTCTATCCATGTCACAGTGAGCCAACTTTCAAATGACTGCTAATATCCCTTGAGATATTACTGCAAACCTTGTTTTCATACGATTCAGTTAGAATTGCATACACATGATTGTATACTGAATAGTGAATTAKACATACATAGTATATACATACTGGATTATGTAAGTGACCTATTCAGGCAGATGATCAGCAAAAGTCTACATACTGTAACTGAGTTTTCTTGATCCAAACTACAGCCATTTGTACTTGTGCTTCAAGAAAATTTAATAGTATCTTAACATAGTTGTTTTATCTGAGACTGGTAAGTAGCCAATCTTCTTTCACATTGTCGGTCTTTTGAAGCAATGCATGAGTCCAAATGCTGTCTTAATACAGAGTATCWCTCCTAATGTTTTTCTCTTGTTATCCCTCAACAAAAGACATGTAAGTCTCGCTGATGAACAGGGAGAAAGTTATTTATTATTTTTGCCCCGTGCTGTTTTTGTACCCTGCTTGAGCAGGAGGTTGGATTAGATGATCGCTAGAGGTCTCTTCCAACCTCAACCATTCTGTGATTCTGTAATTTTTTTTGTGTAGGAGAGCCTGTCTTACTATTTTCTCAGAGTGGCTAAGGCATTAACTTTCATGCTTTTTTATGCAGCTATGAGTCTGGAAATACCTATGAAGGTCAGTGGGAGAAAAATGTACGTCATGGAGAAGGAAGAATGAGGTGGTTGACTGCTAATCAAGAGTATATAGGACAGTGGGAATATGGCATACAGGTATTCATTCTTTTTCCAACAACCTCTTTAATTTGATATCTGCTCATTTTGGTARTGAAACAAGATAAAGAACTTTATGCATTGTCAAAGAAGCTTTGTACCATTTATTCACAGTTGATTCTCATGCTGTTAGCTAGATTCCAGTTTTTACAAAATCTTACAAAATGATAATTTAATTCTTTAATTTTAAATCTGGACCTATAGCAATACTAACTCTTTTGATGACTTTTTTTTTCTAACATTTTTTCAGCATGGATTTGGCACTCATATATGGTTTCTGAAGAGGATGCCATTGTCTCAGTATCCTTTGAGGAATAAATACATAGGTAATTTTGTAAAAGGGGATYGTCATGGACATGGGAGATTCGTATATGCCAGTGGAGCAGTGTATGATGGAGACTGGGTGTGCAATAAGAAGCATGGCAGGGTGAGTACTGACAAATAGTGAGAGAACCTTAAAGACAGCATGAGAATAGGGTTTATTTTCCTCTGTGTCCAGATTTCTGAAATGAAAACTATATTCAGTTTGCAATGTGGATGGAATTGCAACATAAAGTAGATTTCACTGAAAGCCATAGGACTGCACAGAGTCTGGGCAGCAGGTTTGACTACTGGGCCAGGGTGTATGTGTGTATATGGACATGTGTTTTAAAATGGTGTTTCAGGTRCTTAGTTGAAAAACATCAAGATACACCTGTTGGTCAGTAGTTTCAGTGTATGTTACCGTATGTACTAGGGAATTTCAATTTACTGTTGTATAAAAAAAAAGTACAAAGTCTAAGAAAAATATATCTCATATATTGCATTTTAACAGGGATTCTTATAAGGAAAATTGAGAGGATTAGTATTGTTTTTACCGATCTTGTACTAAATGGGCAAATTTGTATTGAAATTAAATCAATCTGTCTGTAGGGCAAGTTTATCTTCAAAAATGGACATGTTTATGAAGGAGAGTTTGTAGATGATCATATAGCAGAATATCCTGCTTTTCAAGTGGATGCATTGAGTGAACAAGATCTGAATGCCATCTGTGTACAAAGTCCTTTTGGCACTGGTAAGCAGTTTAAGAAGGCAACAAATTCTGTTTTCTGTTTATTAGGTTTTTTTGTTAGTTGTTACTTTTTTAATAATATCAAGCTGTTCATGTTTATTCAAGTACCATCTGTGTTTCTTCAGAGAACTTTGGTAAAGAAGAGGTGTATTTTTTAATTACAAAAATCACATGCGTTTTGTTTCTGCGCTTCTTGTTTCTTCTCCTTAACACTTCGAGTCGAGTGACAGGTGCATAACACCTTGTTATGGTTTTGGAACACTGTCTGTTTCATAAATGTCAGCATTTGCAATTTCAGCATGTTCTTTTGGATAGTAGTTAAAATCATAGAACCATTATGGTTGGAAAAGACCTTTAAGATCATTGAGTTCACCTTGCCTGCTAAACCATGTCCCTAAGTGCCTCATCCGCATGTTTCTTGAACACTGCCAAGGTCGATGACTTTATGATATTGATTACTAAATATCTGCCTTTCACCTTAAAGTGTATTCTTTTGAAGTTAGTAAAATAAGAATGAATAATGTCTTCTTTTGCTTGTATATTGTTGAAATTCTTAAAATGTAATTTCATTTCTACTTGTTAGAAAACATCAGAATAGTTAATGGCTCACGAAATACTTCTCTTCTGGGACCAAATATTGAATTAGATATATCTTCACTGCTTGACATCTTCCCAGAGAAAGACAGACAAGAAGAAATAAAGCAAGTAAGAGCCTATTGTTTGTTTGGCTTTTTTTTTTTTTTTTTTTTTTTTTTTTTTTTTTTTTTTTTTTTTTTTTTTTTTTTTTTTTTTGCGCTAATGTGTTTCACATAATTTTGCTTTATGCACACAAACCAGAAATAAATTAAGTCTTGCATTCAAGAATTATCCAAAACCTGACAGCAGTAAATGCATGCAAGCAAAAAGAATGGGGAGATAGTGTTATATACTCCTGAGTATCCACTAGAAGGGAATAAAAGATACATTTTTATCTCTGGAAGGGCAATAATAGTCTGCTTACTGCAAGATCCAGACAGAGTCTCTGCTGATGCAGTCCATATGCTGAGTCCACTGTTTCCAAATAAAAGGTTTGATATCAAAATCTTTTTACGTGACTTTTTATTTTATTAGTACAAGGGACAGTGATTCCTTTTAGATATTTTCTGTTCAAAAACTACACAATATTTTCCAYCTATTTATATAAAAACTGATCTGTTGCTTCTGATTCTTCTGTWGGAGTCTTTTACCTACCTTATGCAGCAGTTGATACATTTTTTTACTGTAATTGGCAAAGCTTTTATTGTTAATGGGACCAATGTGTTGAGAGAGATAGAAAGGTTTATGGGCAAATAAACTTGCTTTTATCAGTCATCAAACAATATTTATTATAAGTACATTTGAGTAATGTTTTCATGACAACCAGGAATGGCTCTTGAAAGTTTTGAAGTAAAAAAATTCCTATGCTATATAATGGGATTGATACATTTTGATTCCTACTTGTCCTGAGAATTTATACTGCTTTGTTTAGGTAGAATTTGCTGTGTTGAGACATATGACGAAACTGAGAAGAATTTACAGCTTCTACAGTAGCTTAGGCTGTGATCATTCCTTTGACAACACCTTCCTGATGACTAAGCTCCAATTCTGGAGATTTCTGAAGGACTGCCAGTTTCATCGTTGCAACTTAACTCTTGCCGAAATGGATCGGATATTGAGTGGTTTGTATTTCTATTGACTAAGGGCTAGAATTTAGAAGTTTTAATAGTAAGCTGTGGGGAGCTGGAGTGTCAAATGCTACTGATAACCTCAGCCCTGGTAGTTCAGTGGCCTTGAGCATGTACCTTTCTGCCCCTAGATTTTGCTGGATGCGTTAAGCTCACCCAGACACTTTGCAGCCTTAAATGGGAAAACACAAAATAAAAATACTCTTCAAAAGCTATTCTGAAGATTCATCAATTCAAAAATTATATTATTCTCTGGTCTTGCCATTACTTTTACTTAAAATATCTTAAGAGTCTGAGAAAGAGAAGACAAATGATCTCTCTTGCTTTTTTTCAGTGTTTTTGGAAGTTCTTTTATTTTGTTGTTTTGCTTGCTTAGAGCTGCTGTGGGCCTTTATCACAAAGATGTACTTTAGTGTCCCTCATATATTAAGGGATTAATTCCAATTTCACTTTCCCCTTTACTTCCGTATGTGGTGGGGATGCATTTCCAAAAAAAGAACTTAAAATTGAGGTTTAGATGGTCCATGCTGCCTTGTCCTGCTCATTTAGAAACAGTGCCAGCTCTGCAGCTATGGTCTGATTCTTCCAGGAGTGCTTTAACACTGTGGTAGGTAGAGAACTAGAGGATGAGGGTCTTATGAGCATGTGTTGCTATAAGCATTTTAACATCAGTGATAGCAAAAGAGATTTTTTTTCCTTTTTTTTTTTTTTTAGGTGATAAAAAACTGCTAGAAGAGATACATTCTCCATATGAGAGCTTATTGTTCAAAACATTTTTATCTTTCCTTATTCATCTAGCATTTCATATCTACCATGAGGTGCACAAGTAAGTTTCATTTTTTAAGTAAAATTAATTTCAGTGCAATTTTTTAAGTAAAATTAATTTCAGTGCAATCAGTAAACTTCTGCCAGGGCATCTTCTCTTTTTCTTCTCTTTTGTCTGAGGCATCTGCCTGCCCTTGAACTCTTGCTTATCCATTCCCTTTCTGTGTTGTCTGTGCTGATGCTGTACAAAGTAGAGTCCCAGCGATGACTTGAAGAGTTTAATTCTGCACCTGTATTTGGTACGAGTGTCTCTTTGTCTCGTTTTTTTTTTTTTTTTTTTTTTNTTTTTTTTTTTTTTTTCCCCCCTCCCAGAAACTGCTCTGGCAATGTATTAGTGCTTTTGGAGACTGCTGTATATATTTCTAATATGTAACTATTTTTATTACTCTGTTTAAATTGTAGCACATAATGGTTAAGAGAAAGATAGACTCTGGAATTTCAGTTGGAATTCTGATTCTACTACCTGGGTGTGTTCTTGAAAATTCTGCTTCATGCCTTTTATATGAATTTTATAATATCTTTCACACTCAGCTTAGTAAATGTGAATCTTCTCTTCTCGATCCTCTGTAAGAGGACAGAAATGCAAGCTGATTTTGGGAAGGACTCTGCAGAGAACCTTGAAATTCATTGAAGAGTTCATTTGAGAAAATTCTGTTGTAATTTTTTTACAGAGTAAATATACTTGTAAAGTGTACCTCTAAAAGTTGTTGTGTTCCTTGTGCAAAACCAGAGTATGTGTTTTTGTTTCAACTGTAGAGAGGAAGGTCCTTATCTACATAAGTGTTTCTTAGAAATGATGTTCAGGAATATTATTCCCACTGCCTGCCATATACAGGGTAAGTAATGATCTCTTGTGTGGCTCAGAATTAATTAGTGGTAAATACATGAGAGCTTTTGAGTAATTGTTGTTTTTTCCCTCTTTTTTTTTTTTTTTTTACAGGTATTTTATTTTCTGACCGTGCCATTTGTGCCATGAACTATGTTGACAAATGCTGGGAAATATATAGAGCTTTTTGCAAGCCAAGTACCAAACCTCCATTTGAACCCACAATGAAAATGAGACATTTCCTCTGGATGTTGAAAGTAATGGTTTACTTTGTTTTTCTTTTTGATCTGGCCAAGTACACACTTGTTCAGTTCATATGGTCATTTTAAAATTACCCTGTAGCTCCTGTGCAGTAAGGGTAACTTTATATCAACTGTCCAACAGATGTTAAAGGGATAATTATTCTGATGAACAGTTGTTCTTTTCAGGACCAAATTTTGATTTCTTATTTGAAATCAGTCAGATTAGACAAGTACTTTTTTAAAGTAAGCCCATGATTTTACTGTCTTTAATTATGTGCTGTATGTCTTACTCAAAACCGCTAGAAATTTTCACATAGTCCTTAAAGAAAGTTCATTTAGGTCCCTATGGGAATGCTGTGTTAGTAATAACTAACATTTAATCTTGCACAGGATTTCAAGCTTCTGAGTAAGGAATTAACTGCTTCAAGTCTTGTGGAAATACTTGTGAAAGACTATCCCTCTCTACGTGATGGTGATAGCAGCAACCTGGAGCAGGAGGTGTGTATGGAAAATTTTAGAAAATGCTACAAATACCGACCTATCTGCYAGAACAGCAGAAGAACTTAATTTCTATTTTTCCTGATTGAATTTGTATCTTTTTTTTAATCATTATCTGGTAAACAACATAAAGTGTAAGTATTACTAAAGGACTCATTATACACCTTTTGCTGGAGTTCTTCTTGGTGTTGTGTACGATTGACCTATTGACAGTTGGACTCGATGATCCTGAAGGTTTTTTCAGCCAGAATGTTCTATGACTCTGTTTTTGGTAGTAAGTAAAACAATAAATGTTATGCATCACTGAGAAAAATTCATTGCAATTCCAGCAAAAATATATGCAGTGTTTTATTTTGATTTGTGTAAGGTTTAACATCGTGTATCAACCGCTGATTTTTTGAACTTCAGCCAATTTCAAGTTTTCTTCAGTAAAAAGGGATGTTTGAGAAGATGCAGTGATGTCAGTGAGGCTCAATAAGTAGTTCAGAATTCTTTACTTGCTCAGACATGTACTCATAGTGAAGATATTTTTATAAAAATGAATTAATTGTTGATTGTTTGTTTTACTCTAGTTGGTTTTTCTTGAATTTTTTGAAGCTCTTCTGGATTGTGCACTGGTGTATGTTACCAGTGATGTGATTAAGCAGCAAGTAGAGTATTATATTCAGAAAGGAAATAGCTTTAGAATTGGAAGTCCCTCCGAGGGAACCACAACATTGATGCAGTACCCAGAATATTATCTGTCCCAGGTAAAGTTGTTTTGGATCTCATGGTATAGACATAGAAACCAAATTCCTATTTCCCCATAAGTAGTCATCTGACAGGAACCTTTTCTTGTTTTTTATTTGTTGTTACTTTAGACTGTAACATCACTCTAGATGTTTTTAATACACTTTCAGATTTTCCTAAGTAATTGCACTTGAAAGCCTTCTGATGTTATAGAGGGAGCAGACAGATTGGTTGATGGGTGGAAAATGGGCCTGTCTTGCTTAAAGCTGAGTGTGTAAAATTGCTCTGTGAAAATGGCCATACATAACAAGACTTGCTCATTCCATACAGTGTTGCTGAAGGTATTATTTAGGCTGTAGAATTTCTGTTACTGGGAATTATGCACAAGTTGAAGGTTAGTTTGATTAATTCTCAGAGCATTTCCAGCAAATAATATCATAGCAGTGCCGCCAGTTGAAAGCCAGTACCTTCCCTTGTTCTTCACCTACATGATCCCATCCTGTAGGACTCATTCSCTTGTGTCATTACCAGCCTTTATGTAGTTACACACTGAACTGTAGTTCCAGTTAAACCAGAAGTGTTTTCAGATGCTAATATAAAAATCATCATCTGAAGTGAATTGAATGAACATTTTTTTCTCATGATTATTTTTCTATTAGTCTGTTTGCAGGAGAAGTGTAATGAGTACAGACAAAAATGATGAGCCTTACTCATGCCTGTCTTCAAACAAAAATGCCCTGTCAAAAAAGGGAACAAAGATTCATGAGGTAAGTAAAAAGCTCTTGGTGAAAAGTGGAGTAGAGGGTCTTGCCATTCATATGGGATAGAGAAGCAAAGGTATTTTGAGGTTTGAAAGGGACTAGAATTTCACTTACTAACTACAATGTGCTTTTGTACCTTAATGTGTATATGAACCTAAAAAAGGATGCATTTCCTCTGCTAACAAAGCACTTGTTCCCATGCTAAAGCAGAAGGCAGTGATGAACAAATCAACAGATACATGTTTATTGGCAGTGTAAGGAGTGAGAGGATGAAAACTGGGCAAAGAGACTTAGTAGCACTAGAGAAGGTAACCCTAATATTAAAATTCTTTTAATATGTAAAAGTGTGCCTCATTCATTGTATTTAGCTTGCTGAAAATGAGACATCTTCTGTCTCAGCATACTTGTGATTTGTCTTAATTTTTAGAATAACCTTTTGCTCTGTGTGTTCATTTGTTTTTTGCTTCCTGATAGATGCAGGCAAGAGAATATAAGTCAGCTTGAATATATCTTTTCACATAGCAGGAGTTCCTATAAACATATTCCAAAATTAGAGGCAAGATTAGAGTTCTTCTTCCAGCAAACATCTAAACTTTACTGCCTTGGCACTTTCATATTTTAAAATAATTGCAGAATGCACTTGGATTGGCAGCTTCTTATCTTGCAGTGTAGTAGTTGGTACTATTCCAGTTGTATAGTACCAGTACTATTCCAGTACTATAGTACCAGTAGTTGGTACTATTCCAGTTGGTACTAACTATTTATGGTTAGACAAATGGACACTGTGATTTCAGTTTTTAATTTGAACACAACTCCAGACATTTTAGAACTGAATTCAAAACTTCTTGCCAGTCACAGAGACCCTGTGAAGACACATTGCTGTGTTTCCAAGACTTTCGTATCGGTGAGTACACGAGTTTGTTTTAGAGCATCAGTGAAGAGTCTCAGAAGAGACTCACTCTTGCTGCAGCTTTAAAGATAATTAAAAAGGTAGGTGCTTCTTGGAACAGTTGTGCTTGTATGGAGGGAAGCAGCACTCAGTTCTGCACTTACGACGAAGCTTAACTCTTTWATGTATAGTTTCATGCGCTGGAAACATGTGGTGAGCTGGTCAAATTTGAAACTCTGAACCTCTGCTGTGAGGATTTCAGAACTGTTCCTCCATGTTGAAATAATCGATTAGAATATAATGAGTGTTTTTATTAGATTTTTAGATCTAGGATTTACTTAGTCCTAGTTCTTTTCTCTTATTAGCTTTTCCTTCCTTGAATGTCGATTCAGTGTGTTTGTCTAGTCTTTCATCATCAAGTCAACATCTTTGGATTCTGTGTTTCTGCTAAGGGCATGTGGGCACAGGAGGAGGAAACCTGAGCAGATGTGCTGGCTTAGCTGGAGCTCAACAGGTGCTGTTGACTGTGAGGTGTGATGTAGTGAGACTGTTCAAAGGTTTTACAGGGAAATTCCCTACTGCGGTTTGCTTGCTATGACTTGCAACACAAAATTCACTCTCTTCACTCTACTGCTCCTCCAGGCAACTGAAGGGCTGTATTCCTGTATAGACGTGCTACTTGGTTGCCTCAATCTCTTTCCTGCGTTTTCCTGTTTCTTTTACTGTCACACTTATGTCCCTGCTAGCCATTGCTAAATAGCAAGAAAATGGGCAGGTAGTGGTGCTGGTAATATAGAAAATAGCAACAAATTGCATTTGCTCTCAGCTGGCTGCTCTTATGAGCTCCTCCTCTCTATTGTCCATCAAAGTTATCTGTAATACTCAGAATCAGTCCCACTAAATCACACTTGTACAGGTATCACATCAATAATGTTTATAAGGACTAACAGTGTTAGAATCTTGTAGAAATAATTGGTGCTCACATGAATACCAACCAGTGAGTGTGTTTGAAGGCTGGTTGCACATAGTCAAGGAAGAGAGTTTGAAGGAAGAGAGTCAGCAGATAAGATGGTCTCTAACAAATTCATCGAACCTGGCCCAGCAGCTCAGTCGTGGTAGGCAATTCTACCCTGAGCTCACAAGTCTTGTTGAGCTGTTGGAAGGGGTAGTAAAACACATGATCTGAGAATGAGTCTGCATTTTAATATGCATAGTTAGTATTTTGACTTTTTTTGGTAACTATACCAGTAGGTATACATTTAAACATTTTTAGGCTGATTTTTTTGGTCTGTATGGAGCTTTTAAACTTAAGTTTTTGTGCAAAAGTATGCATATATTTAATAAAAGCTGGATGCTTATTATTTCTGACAGGTATAGAGACAAAAGATTGAACTGAGAAATATTTTTTCATTATAAGATATCTTCTCATTAGGAATAAACTATTTCGGCCGCAGATCTACCTGATACCTCATATGACATTTAATTTTTTTTTTTTTTACTGAAAGCTAGCATTGATATTTAATGCACAGAATTACAAACCTATTTAAAACAATGACTTTTTTTTCCTTTGCCTGAGCAGGTAATCGTCTCATACTCCATGCAGCACATTCTTGTTTCAAAGATACTCATTGTAGATGGGATGCAGAAAATGGACAAAGTTTCTGCCCACCAGAGGACCTGGCAGGTAAAGCAGCCCGTTTAAAAKAAAAACTGTAGCTCTTGATTTGTAACTCTTGAAATGAAATTTTAATTCTGCATGCAGATTGCAACTTGTCACAAGAGGGCAGTAAGTGAACATTAATTCTGGAAGGTTTTTTGTTTTTTTTTAAGAAAATGAAATTAAATAACCTTTTTTTTTTTCCTCTAATCTCTTGGCCAAATGGAAGATACTACCACTATCCATTGCTTCTTGTTCTTGGGATAAGTACTTGCTTCTTTTACATAGGATAAGAATTGGCTTACATTCTGGAGTGATCGGTCACCATTAGCTGGGACAGATTGTTATGCTTTATGACGGGCCTGCATTAATGCAGAACAGAAATTGGTAGGAGCATTTGCATATGCACACGTTAAGAATAGTGAGAATGCTACTTTTTATACAATAACCCTTCTAGCTGATTGGCCAGTTTCATCCCTCATGYTCCTAGTGCTTGTTAATGTTTCTACAACTAAAGAACCCCAGTGCAAGAGTGTAAGTGGACAACATATTCTTTGTGCAGTCATCAGCTTTCATGCTGCAATCTGATGGCTGAGAAGTTACAGATCAGAAAACATCATTGTCTCTTGAACAACSAGTAGATTAGCTGTGGGAAATACAGTGTGCAATAACTTTTTAAAGTCATGCATGTAGGCATGYAGTATTTCTACATAGTTTTCTTCTTCCCTCTCATCCCTCATATACAGGGGTTTATAGATGCTGAATTGTCACTAGATTACAATGACATTAAGATATTTAGGATTAAGGGGGAAGGTCTGTGTTCTTCTAGGGCCAAGCTCAGAGATCACTGCACTGAAGAACCACAAAAAAAGTCCTTGCCCTTTTACCMTTATCTGTTACAGGTTCCTCACATTTGGCATGTTCTGTACCATGCAGAAACTAGTGTGCATCAAACACTTGTGGAGAGGCAGGGACCATCATAACCTGTGCAGCCAGACTTTTCCATTGCAGAGTATCAGTTCTTAAGTATTGTAGCCCAAGAAGAACTTGAAATAGAAATACTTTAAATAAGAGTTAAATAAACTGTGTAATTTATATGTTACAGAAAAAAGAGAAGACAAAAATGAACAAAATGAGGAAGTTGGTCTGCAGCTGTGTCAGATGCAGATTTTTTTTATCTGTAACTTATTTCCTGCCTACCAGCATGAGCAAGTGCTGAAGGAAAAAATAAAAGAAAATCGAATTCGGGATGCTGAAATAGCTGAGCTGCGGAAACTAAAGGATGAGGAGCTGGCAAAGTGAGTGTTTTATCTTGAAGAAATGGCTTTTTTAACTAAAAAAGTATAATTGGTCTTTATGAAAGCACTCTAGCATATCATAACTGCCACACATCATCCAGAAATAATAAGCAGTATCCAGAAAGTAATTAATGTATAACTACTTATAAAATAGCAAGTTAAGAAAATAATTTCTCTTTAGTTGTCCTAAGAGACAATGAATAGAATGAGCCTTTAGGCTACTGGACTATTTTACAGCTCTCTACTRAGTGTAGTTTGTAGCATTTCAGTCCTGCTCTGTATGAACCAAATTCAGTGGAATATATTTTTGCACAGTCCAAATCAGACTTAATGTGATAAAAGACTTTATGCTTCTCTAAAGTAAAATATTTCAGCCTATTCATACTGCAAATACAAATGCAGTTGCTTAGCCAGTATAAATCTTTGTATGAATCTTTGTACTTTAGTATGAGTCAATAAATTTAAGCTTTGTCTGCTTAGACTTGTTGCTGAAAGAGAAGCAGAAGAGGCAAAAAGACAAGAAGCTGAAGCAGAAAAAGCATCATCTGAGCTCAAGAATGGAGCACTTCACGAGTCAGACTCTGTTACCCACTCAGTATCTTCCTCAAAGGAAGAGGCACCCATCGCACCACCCCCAGCTGTTACCAAGGTTGCTGCAGGGACRAAGAAAAAGAAAAAGTAAATCTTCGAAAGACAACTGATGCTTTATACTGTAAGTGCTTTTTGAAGGAAAAAAACCAAAGCACTTCCGCTAGCATATAAAACAAAAGGGCTAYAAAAGCTCTTTGCAGGAGATTTGCCAGTTTCAGGCTGAAACAACTTAACAGGCAGTTCTGTGCTCTTGCATCAAGCGCCTTGGGTAACCAGCTACATATAACTCTTTAAATAGCATCACTACTTGCTTCTCAAATAGCCTTATTTATTTGCTAAAACTCCCTTCAATGTCACAGCAATACACCTACAAGATGGGATATCAGTGGTGTCTGTCCCTTGCAAATAAGTGTTTGCTTCAGGTCTGGTCTGTTTAACTGAAATCATGCATAAGCTTTTCTTTTTTCCCCCCTCTGTCTGGTCTAGTGGTTTTATTTAGGGATTACTTTGAAGTAAGTATTTGATAACAAAAGAAAACAMAACACGTTGAACCAGACCTTTGAAGAACGGGCAAAGCTAGAACACATGAAGCTTAATAAGACATAGATCAGAGGTCCTTTTTAACGAGCACTCTAGTTTCACGTGGTAAAAATTACTATGAATTCACAATATGATGCAAATGAACGAGGAAAACAAAAAAAGATGCTCTTAAAAGTATAACAATTATTAGTTTTATTTTCCAATAAAATATTCACATAACTATCAGAATGGAATGGTACAGATGATTTCAGACTGGTTTTAATTAGTTTGCAGATAAACATTTTTAATCTAAAAATTTTATGATCAGTTTACAGATTTTAGTAGAAATTKGATTCTTACAAAGCAAGTATTGCTTTACTATTGTCATTATTCCAGTCAATAATATGACTAATAACTTTGTGTTGAACAAGTGTTTGATGTTGACTTCTTCAATTAATCAGCCCTTTACAGATCAATCCAAGAAGAAAATATTATTAAACTGTGTTGCACAAAGCTTCTTCACTTCTTCTGTTAAAAAGAAAAAGAAAGTCAATACACTATTTTACAAGAACCTATATAAGAAAAACTCCTGAGATCATCAAGGGGAAGACAGTTAAACAGGACAAAAACAAACAAGAAAAAGAGTTCAGGGCAGAAAATGCATCTATCAGTAGAGGACTCYCATTTATTTTGAAAAAAACAGTCTATTTAGAATTAGCTTTAGAATAGATAAAACTTAAACTGGGGCTCTTTCTTGGCCCTAGAGAGAAAGGAAAAAAAAGCGACCTGCATCTTCAATGTTCCTTTGGACTTTTAGTTGGAATAAATTAGTCTTGAAACAGTAACTTTACAGTAATGGAATGAGCAGTGCTAGAAGGAGAAAGATTATGCACAAATAACCCCCCTATGGAAAATGGCCCTCCCCCCAAAAACAAAGCAGCTATGTCAGATGTAAATATACTTATCTCTTCCCTGTAATACACTTCATTAATTACTCCTAAATGAAACTCAGAGTACTCTTATTATTTCAAGGAAGAAAAATGACTGCTTAATAATTAAAAAACTCTGCTAAATATTTATATTGTTCTTTYACAGCAGCTGGAAGATGGATTCAAACCTTATGCAAATTTACCTGGTCTAGCATAGATCAATTCTTCTTTAAATTTCTCATGACATGGAATTTATCACTTTACCAAAGCATATATTTTTATAGTAACTGTAGTTAAAGGATAATAAAGGACAATCCTTACCATTAACTTCAAGGAGGTTTGCATTTTTTTGATTCAAAATAACATACAGTTCTCGCTGGTCAGACTTTTTTCCAACTACCCAGTAATCACTCATTGCTTTCACGATAATTTCTTCATCTTCATCAGCTCTGAAAGAAGTTTGAAAAAACATGTTAAGAACAGTGTTCTCAAGAAGATGGCAGCAACTGGGCCTTCAGCAATGTAAGCTCTCCTAGTAGCTGTGAATAATCTAAGCCTCATGGCAAGAAGAGCAGCGGTTGTGCCACACTAAAAAGATTCAGGAGGACTGAACTTGCATGCAGTTCAACAGAGCAGAATGAAGACTGCCAATCTATTACATGTATATCAGCAGCTAAGTAAACCCTTAACTTGTCCATCAGCCATTATCAAGGTGGCCCAGTATTTTTTAAAAGGACAACAGAAGTTTTAAATACAGAGGACAGACTCCTTTTCAGCAACACTAAATACTAAATATGACCCACAGCCACAGCTTGTTGTACAGGCGGTGAACAGACTTGAGCAAACAAAAGGGGCATGGAAGACTAGTCATTTGAAAAAAGGTTATTGACAGATGGAGTTACACACTATTTAATAGTTAAGCATTACCTGGAGAAGTCACTGTTGATGTCACCGAGAATCTTCATGAGGTCGGGGTGGACAGATGCAAGCGATACACTGGGTGTCTTCCTCATGTGAATTGTACTCTTCTCGGCCAAGTTCATGTGATTGAAATAGATAAACTTAAACTGGGGCTCTTTCTCAGCCCTAGAGAGAGGGGGGGAAAAAAAAAAGGTGGCCTGCAAGCCTCAGATACCCTAAAGATGCCTTCACATGGAAGAAGGCAAGTGCCCTAAGACTTGTGTCAGGATCAGAATTCAATTTATTTTCATTATTAAATTAAAAAAGCAAGCACACAATAAGCTTTCCCCCTGCCTGTTTCTTTGGCTCCTAGTAAATAAAATTAAAAAAGAGGGGAATTTAAGGTTTTTTCCCACATCTCAGCCCATTCATCTCATTTTAGTGAGCCATTTTGTCTCTGCCCCAATTTTTTTTTTTTTTTTTTTGCTGCTTTCCCCTACCAGGCAGTACAGTTTTGCTTTGAACAGACAGTGAGTCTTTATTGTGACCAATGAGAAATATTTCAATCACATCTTTGAGATGTTTGAGACAAGGAACTTCCTTGATCCAGACAATAAAATTTTCCCCCATTATTTTTGTGGAGCAAATATGAGAACAGCTCCAAGCTTTTGCCTTACTCCTCCTCTCATTTCTCTTTTATTAAGGTAATATAAAATCTTTCACTTACAGCTGTATCATTTTTGAAAGCCCCAGAGAATTCAGACTGGCAAAAACTGGCTATAGCAYTTGGCATTTCAGGTTCTGTATTATTTAGAGGCAGAGAGATACTGTGATACTCACCTTAGCAAACAACTAGATACCTTTGCTCTCTGTCACCCAAGTACATTAGTGTCAAGAAACTGTATCATGTTTTCAGGACACAAAGACATTAAACTTTAAAAGAGTTAAAGTAGTTAAAGCTGGTCTTTTTAASTCACAGGTGGCATTAAAAAAATAAGTTTAATGATTTAGTAGAAAGACACAATTTCAAGTACATTCTGCTACGTACCCTGCAATTTTGCCAATTTGGGGTGCTACAACCAAAGTAAATTACAAGCTAATATCACTATCTTCAGCTTAATTCTTCTTTTGTTGTTGTATAACTGCTATTTTTGCCCCCCAACTAAAAATCCCCATTGAAAAAAAAGTTTTTAAATGGGTATTTTGCTCCAGTTCAAAGTGAGGTAATTTTTTCAAAATATTAGTGTCCTTTCTCACTTGACACTAAGCAGCAATAAGGTAATGACTAAATATATTCCAAAGTTGTTTCCTCACCCATCAYACAGAGCAGCACTTCAGGAAGCAGTAATTTTTGATAAAGTACTCAACTGCGTGCACTGAAATTATCACCTAAACTACTCAGAAGTCCCATTTGAAGCTACTTGACAAAAATTGTTCTAGTACCCAGAACAACTGCTGCACTTCCATCTACCACATTCTTGCCACCCTGTAACTATTTATGCAAACGCAGTAATCTGTAGAACTGATGATTTCCAAGAACAAGCTAGTTTCAGTTCACATACAAAAGCAGCAAAACCCACAAGCTCCCCTCTCTATCCGACATCATCTACACCATCAACATCTATTTGTACATCAATCATATCTATGTTGTTACTTCAGGGAGACCTGAATATGCAACAAGGCACTTTATAAATGCTTAAGGTAGAGAGAGATAGATGAACATCATTTAAGGTGCACAGTTAACTCAATACTTGCAGTGTTTTGGCTCATGTTACTGTTATTTAAGCAGTTCATTAAAACTAATTTTTAAGCACCTGATAAAGGACTGCAATAGGGAAAGAAGAACAGTACAAACCCCGATATTCTCTTGTTGATGTTGTATTGTTCACATATGTCTGATGCTAACACGGTGAGTTGAGGCCCAACGATGCTGTCCAATTTACGGCAAAACTCCAGTGTAGGGGGAATTGAAGCTACAGCGCAGTTAAAAAGAGATAGAGATGAGATTCCCTTTCAAGGGTAGAAGTTTTTTGTTTGTTTGTTTGTTTTGGTATGTGCTTTCTTTAACCTTCAGCTAGAGTCCTGGGATAAATGTACCCTCAGTTACAGCTATGCAGTTTGTAAATCATCCCGATGGTTAACTGAAGCAGTATTTAGTCCTTTTAGCATGTGTATACCCTACAGCAGAATAAAAGGGCTGCTAAAAGCATTCATGAAGAACAGGCTCAAGTAAGAAAAATTTGAGCATTTTTAAAAACAAGTTTTATTAATGGCATTTTGTATTAGCTGTGTCTTCCCAAAGAACTGATACTGATACGTACTTACCATCAATCATAAAGCAGACAGCTGCACTCATAGCCTGGAACAAAAAAAGTTAAAGCAAAAAAATTTACAATAGGCTACCTCAACTACACAAATACGTAACGGTACTTCAGTGAAGTCACCAACAGACAACCAGTTAAGTTCAAAAATCTTGTTTGTAGCACTTCAAACAGGAAATAGGAAAGTGTCTTTGTAGGAAATTGGAAATTTTCAAATAGGAAAGCGTCTTTGTAATCCTAACTATCCTGTAGCATGCAGGATTACAAACTTCAGCCCAGTTATGGATTTTTAGTTGTAAGAGAAAGATTAAATTTGCTAAAAAAATGCTGGGCATATGTTGCATTTAATTAAGGAAAAAAACCTTAGTTCCATTGATTAATGCAATACTAAGGCAGGTGTGAAACCACTTGAAGCACCTGAAGGCTAGCACTTTATTTTAATAAAACATCTGTTTGTTTTGAAGATGCTCCAGGAGCAGGGATTTTATGCCATTTATAAGTAATTCACAGCACTGTCTTCTTTATGGTATAGCTATTCCTAATGCAAGGAATAATCACCGAGAAATAGTACCTTATAAACAATTAAATGAAGCTCTTCGTAAGTGTCATCAGTGTTAACAAATATTTTGGGAAATCGGCATTTTGCTTCTGGATCATTAAGATTCAAAGGCCCAGTGAGAAATCTAGAAAACAATCCAGTAGATTAGAAGTGATTAACTCTTATATTTCAGAATTTCCTATTTAATCTTCCTGAAACTAGCAATTGCAAGCATGAATATATTTGAATGCAAAGAGCTATCCAGATAGAATATAAAAAGGGCAGGAGCTCTGTGCCTATCTCTTGCTACTCATAYATTTTCAAAGAATTTTTTACAGATAGGCTCCTAAAAGTTTCCTAGGATCAGAAAGGTTATGGAAGCAAAAATCCCAAATTAAAGTAATACTAAGGAAATAAACTGCACAGATCATCAGGAGGACAACAAAAGCTGTTCAACACTTGAAACACAACTTTCTTTGAAAAWTTTTTTTGTGCTGCTGGAAAGTCATTAACCTTTTGCTTTCCAACTGTACTTTCAAATTAGCTTCTGGTAGAACAGTAGTGCAATACAAGCACCTGGACTTTGAGAGGAAAAGCAGGGGAGCATATGCCAGTGTGCCCATCCCTAAAGAATACACGGAGTCAGGCAAGGGGAATTAGAAATGATCAAAGATGTCAAGAACCATCATGTATTGGAAAAAATGCTGCCCAGATGCTAAGTGAATCTGCACCCTCCCATATAACTGACAACAGGTGGGGGAAAATCACTAGCTAGCGTCTTCCTCGTCTGTGTGAGGTGTCTGACTAAAAGGAAGCAGTGGTGATATTTTCCATAATATATATTAAGAATAGCAGACAACAGAAAAATGACAGGCAGTAACTTTAWTGAAGCCTCTTCTTTCTTTCCCAGGGGCCAAGTTCTACAATGCATTGACAACTGTGTAGGCTTGCAGAGGAACCATATCTAGAGCATGAACCCAGAATAAATTCACTTCTCAAACATTTTCCCCTTGCGGGAAGCAGCAACAGATGATGACAGTTAATAACAGTTACCTTCCATAGTGCTGCAGATTTCCTGGCATTTCAGCACGTATTGGAGAATCTCTTCCTGCTAACTGAAGCAAAAAAGAACAAGCACAAAAAGAAAAAAAAAATGCTTAGAGGTATGTTATTTCTTATGAACTGTTTATAAATTGTATTCAAGGAAGCTAATTGCAGGAAATCTATTCATCAAGATTCATCACTATTCATCAAGATAGATGCTGATGGTGAAACGTAAACAAATCTAAAGTGTACAAAATACAGAGAGAACTTGGCATACTGATTTTGTGTTTATTCGTTTAATAACTTAGCCTTTTTCTGGATAAGTAACTCCCTTTGGTCCTATGGCTCTCCTGTTACATTTATCCTTTGACTAAAGTAATTCATTAGCAGTAGTGAGCACAGTCAGTTCTGTTAAAATAGTAAAATATCTTCACTACACAGGTGTGAAACTGATGTATTTGAGGAACTCAAAGTGACATATGGACAAGACAGCTACACTCATTGCATCTGCTATGCACAAATCCTGTATTAGTAATGCAAAGAAAAGACAGTGTTTGAGCATTCACTAAGATCATGTGTACAAGAGCTGAAGACCATGGTGTGTTTCAACATACTGAATGCATGATCTCACCAGCTAGTCACATTAGGCTCACTGAAATGACTAGGTATATGTTTATGTGATCATCTTTTTAATTTTCAGTTATTCCACAGTACTCTCTGTTTTTACTTGCTTTACAGTGGGAATTAACTCAAACTGTTAGCACTGCAAATGCCATATATTACCGTAGTCATCTGTGAGAATGATCCCTTTTCGTTCTTAGCACTGAAGCTGTATTCTTCGCCTATATTGTTTTCCGCCTATATTCTGACGCGGAAAAGTTCAAGTTAAACCTAAGGTTTCCTCTTCAATCGTGAACATCACATAACTGCTATTTAAGTAGCTACACAAATAGATTATTGGAGCTCACCTTCATAGGCTGGGAGATAATAAAAAGACACCGCTCTTCAATATTTTAGAGCTGTTAAAAAATGAAAAATCAAAGCAAAGAAATCATACCTCAGGTTCCATGTGCCTAGGGAACAGGGATGTTGTGAGATACTTGTACAGAATTCTCATGTCATCTTGTTCCAGTCCACTCCTAGAACATGAGGGAAGAGACAGAAATYAGCATGAGCTTGAAAGCTCTAACATTATTTCAGAGGCTTTGCTATTATGGCACATATTTATATGATYGGAAATTTAAAAACTTAGGAAAAAATATAGAAGCACCTACCAAATAAGTTGATCATTGTAGAGAAATGCAGTATACTTTACTATGTTCAGGCTTTCCTCCATTCTATTAATAAATGACTGAATTTTCAAGTAAGTCATTTTATCCAGTGGAAAGAAGCTGATTCCACAAAACACATCCAGCAGGTCGCAAGACTGTAAATGTAGTGTCTGCAAGTACTAAAAGAACAACAGCAGTTTTTTTTTTAACATTCAGAAAGCCTCCAATGTATAGATTTAAATGACAAATTTGACTTGAATCCCATGCAATCACATCTAACAATTCAAGTATCCCTTCCAGTTCTGCATGTATGTAGTGCTCCTTCACTGGAATGTTTGCTCGTGGTTCCAGGTGGCAACTTAGTGTTAGTAAATCATAGCTATAACAGGACAACTTAAGATCTTTTGTGTGTATAAGAATAGTCCTCGTAATATTTAATTTCATAAGTAATTCTATAAAAATATTAGCAGATAATTGAAAGTTAGTGGATTTACTTAGCGCAGAAAAAAAGATCAATTTTTAATATTTTGTATTTTAAGCTCTACCATCAAACACTCTGCTCTGTGAAATATGAACTACCACATAGCTCCCTCTAGAGATAGCTGTACAGTCATTTCACATTCCTGAAAACAAGTGATAAAGCAAGTGTCCTGTTTTTGAACTGTGCACAATATTATCATACTACACCAGCAGTGAAAAAGCCAACAAAAACATTTCACGCACATTAAGGCAGCATAGATGAAACATGTGATTTCTTAAATTAACTCATTACAAAATTATTCGTAGTTTAAAAAATAAATAAATAAAACTTGCATCCAACACATGCATTCAACTCTCATCGGATCTATCTATTCAGCTGTGATAGACTGCTTGGATTCTTTCTGCTGTACAAACCTACAGAAATTACTAGTTTATCTTTGGTAGGAACTTTAAAGAAAAGCAATGCTTTAAAGAACAAAATCTATTGCTTCCCTTTTTGTCAGGGTCCATTTTTGAATTTGGCATAAACAGAGGTATATACCAGCTAACTAGACAAGCACTCATGACAAGAGGGTTCACTCTAGGGCTATGTTGGCCTTAACAAAATCCCAGAAGAAAGCTGTCCTAACAATCAGATTGAATTGTACTTTTATTTACACTGAAACAGTATTAAGTCTGTTTTATTATTTTAAAGCCTTTAGAGAACAACCTGTGCATGCAAGTTGTGGAATCTCCACTCTTGGATATACTCAAGCTTCAACTGAAAAAGCCCTATGCAGCCTAGCTTACTTTTAGACTAACGTGACTTCTCAAGATTCCTTCCAACCTGAATGACTCTATGATTCTGTAACAGTTACTCAAATTAATCTGTACAGAATATTATCAGACCAATTAAATATGCAATTTCCAAAGAACAGGCATGGTTCCATCAGAAAAAAAAATAGATATCCAGTGGCTTAGCTGTTCACCAAGCTAATGACTATGTTTTTATTTCAATGCCTTTTAAAGAATCTACCATGCTAGCAGCAAGCAGGAAGTATTTGAAAAAATGAGCAACTGGAATTTTTGTCATGCTACCACATCTTTTCCATCGTGCATATTTTAGAATCACACAGCAGACAATGAGAGAAGTGCTTGCAATTTATTTCCAAAGCAGTAACACACAGTATGTACCTGAAATGTGGGATCTTACCCGATGGAAGAATTTCTCTAGTCTCTCCTTTAAAGCTTTTACACCTCCATCTTCCATGGCTTTCAGGAATGTGCCGTTGAAAAGCTTTCAAAAAAAAAAAAAAAAAGTCAATGGGATAATTAGTTACACCGATTTCTTCTAACTCAATTACAAATATAACTAGATTATAGCTCATTTCCCAGTACCTCAACTAAGCACAGATTTGAATTTACATAGTCTTTATTGAAAAAGCCTATTTCAGACTTACATCGTCCAAGTACATATGGGAGTAACAGCAGAACTGAATAAAAAAGCAGCAGCCAACTACCATTAGAGTAGTTAAATCTGCATTGCTGAAACCATCTTATGCTCTTGCTTTATAAAATTGATGGCCTTTGTCCAATATTGTTTCTGCAGTAGGTAAGGCATAATGCCATCGGAATCATATGCTTATTATTCTAAAAGCACATTAAAAAAGAAACCAGAGAAATTAGAAAGGTCTTATTTTTGCAGTGAGCTGATGAAACAGCACTAGCAACTGAAAAAGCTTTATCTCTTCTATCACCACAATTACAGCTGCAGGAAGAGAACAGACAAGCATCTCAAAGCAATGATGAGCCTGCACATCCAGACGGTACTGTGAAGATCTCTCTTATCCTGAAAAAAGGAGCCTCTGTATGATCATTTAACTCTACCTTGTACATGCTGTAGCACTGCTGCAAGACGGAACTATAAACCTTGTCCTGTGGAAAGGAGAGCAGGACATTAAAATGAGCAGAGGCAGATTTCAAGTTTTTTGACTGAGCTACACATAATACATATTGGCAAAAAGCYCACACACAAAAATTGGAAAAATCAATTTCTAAGAAGATAAATAATATTTTCAATCAGTATTTAGGATTTTCTTCATACTTATAAAGGATTATTTCAGCAAATTCCACCCCCTTCCTTTTCTTACATTTAATACCAAAAGCTTTGTCAACTCATGTACAAAATATCAGTTACAAACAGTGCAGTTCCGTAAGCGCTGCGGTCAGAAAGACGTTGACATTTCTTGAACAGCTTCCTCTTCATCCAATTCTAAAGCTAAAGGAGGTGAAACACTAGAGCAAGTTGGTTTTTGGCTGCGATCTTAAATTGGATGAAGGAAGGCAGTTTTAGTATTTCTTTGGGAAAACCGAGCAACTACAACAACAATCCTTTCCGTTAAACAAAATGAGGAACACAGTTTAGTGCAACAACTGTAGGGAACAGAGGCAGCATAAGTGACTGGATTTTTAAATGTTACTTAATGTGGCCAATTATGTTCTTAGCACACAATCAAACTGACAGAATGATCCTGCACTTCGGACAAGAAATCTGCTAAAAGCTTTAAGCTGTTCCACTTCCCAGATTATTAGTGAAGACTGCTTGTACTCTTAAGAAAGTAACAACATATACTGTACATAAACATAGCAAAAATAGATGTACAATTTTACAGGAACCTTATTAAACGAACAGATTAAAGTTATATTGGCCTATTCTAGACAAAAAGCCTTGCAGCAGTATATTTCACTACTGTTTATTAGGCCATCTTGAGCTGCTATCTGGATGATTCTCTGACTCTACAAACTTTATTGCAAGCTACTTTGCCCCAGGCCTTTATCCATTTGTGGCCATATATATTTTATTAACTCAATTCAGCAGCAGCTAAAGAAGAATAAACTGAAGATTACTTCTGATGGTACTCTTAAAATACAATAAAATCAATAATTAAAAAAAAAGGACACAGAAAGAGACTGGAAAATAAGAAATTAGTATTACCAGTAATTCTTCTTCCTGATATTCATAGACTGGCTTTCCATCTTTATGTTTTTCTATTATTGGGTTTCGTACAACCTAGAAAGTGGAACAAGCTGGTATTAGACAATGCAGAATGCATTGAGAACATTCTGAAATCAGGTTTTAGAAATATGCATATCATGTGCATAAGTACCATGACCATCCAGAAGTTTTCTTCAGGTTCATGGAAAAACTGTCTATTCTTCTGTGTATGTAGGGATTTTGCAGGTTTTGTTGGACTAAAGGTCCTGGGAAGAAAACATATATGCACAAAAAGTAAATGATTGGAAAATTTTGAAAGACAGTGTTTGTGCTAA